AAACTTTACGTTGTGGCAGAGTACGATTCAAGACCTATTGGTGCAGCAAGGTCTTGATCAAGCACTAGAGGAGGAGAAGCCTACCTCCATGAGTGAGAGCGAGTGGAGTAAAATTCAGAGGAGAGCTGTTAGTACTATCCGGTTGGCACTTGCTCCCGAGATTAAGTTTAGTGTGTTGAAGGAGACCACACCAAAGGCATTGTGGGATAAGCTCGAGAGCATCTATGCGTCAAAGTCGCTGACGAACCGGTTGTGTTTGAAGATGGAGTTGTACTCGCTCAAGATGGAAGAAGGAGGTAATCTTCATGACCACATCAACATGTTTAATCAACTAGTATGCCAGCTGATGAATGCCGATGACAAGATTAAAGACGAGGAGCAGGCGTTGTTGTTGTTAGCATCATTACCGAAGTCCTACAAGCCATTGGTGCAGACATTACTTGTAGGAAGAACAACTCTCACGGTTGATGAGGTGACTGCTGCTTTATGTGAGAGTGAGAGGATGATGAGGAATGACACTAACAACACAGGAGGTGATCGCATACTAGTTGCAAGAGAGTGTGGGCTAGGGAGGAACTCACCGAGGAGGCATGATGATCCTAGAGAGAGATTAAAGTCTAAGGTGCGTCGAGATCTAAGTGATATGGAATGCTACTATTGTAGAGAGAAGGGTCACATGCAAGTAAGATGTCCTCAAATGAGGGAGGACTTGAAGAAGTTGAGAGATACGTCGCAAAGGAAGGGTGATGGTGACTCCCACACGAATGTGGTCAGTGATGCTTATGATGGAGATTTGTACTTGGCAATGGGTGAAGAGGTTGCTAAGTCTGAGTGGGTGATGGATAGTGCTGCCTCGATGCATATATGCCGAGATCAAGGTTTGTTCGACACCTTGAAAATTGATGGAGAATTTGGTGACTTCAACTTGGCTAATGGTAAGAAGTTGAAGGTCAAAGGTATTGGAAGCGTGAGGATGAAGCTTCACAATGGTGCAAGCCACATTCTTCGTAATGTGAGGTACGTGCCTACTAGCAATACTAATGTCATATAATTGGGTGCAATGACATTAGAAGGGTGTAAGTTTTTTGGCACGAGCAAGTGGTGCAAGGTGTTCAAGGGGAGACGTTTGATCATGAGAGGATGCAAAAATGAGAAGAACGTTTGCAACTTGGATGGAAGAGTCGTGCAGAGAAAGAGTAGCGGCACTACACAGAAGAAAGTGAGTTTTTCAAACGATGTGAAGATCTTTGGAAATATAAATTAAGGGAGGAAATGTTAGGATATTAATTCAATATTTCCAAAGGTTTGTGAGAGGGGAGATTCTAGAGAATTCTATAAGTTGGTGGAGATGTGTAGAATTCTCTAGAATGTTGTAGAATTTTCTAGAGAAGTGTAGAAATCTCTAGAAATGTGTAGAATAGTCTAAAAGTTTCTAGAATATTCTAGAGCTTTCTAGAGAAGTGTGGAAGTCTCTAGAAGCGTGTGGAAGAATGTAGTATTCTCTAGAATATTCTAGAACTATGTGGAGTCCTCTAGATTCTTCTAGAACATTATGGAAGCATGTGGAGACTTTCTAGAAGATTCCAGAGATAAAGAGATGTGTGGAACATTCTAGAGAAGCCTAGCCTTGGTGAGGAGTATAAATAGGAGTATGGATGCCTCATTTGGCAAGGAGTGTGGAGGAAGAAGATAGTGAAGAACCAAGAAGGCTTCTTGAGAGTGCTTGTGAGTGAGGTGTTCCTAATACAAAGAGTGAAGTGTGCTACCCGTGTAATTGTAATCTTGTACATTTCTCTATATAATACAAAGTCTTTTTCTAAAGTCATGTCTTTGTATTATTGAGTGTGTGTGAGTGTACAAGAGTTTGGTTGTGTGAATCGGGGAAAGAGTTCGAGACTCGCGACAATTCCCCAACAAGTATTATTAATACTCCGAATTACCATATCATTTTTACATTAAATTTATTATTATTATTATTATCATTAATTAATTAAGGTATTATGTCGGGGTCTGAGCAGCAACAAGTGGAACGGAGGTATGAATTTATACAATCACAAACCAGTGTATATTTGGTGAGTCTATCTACCGGTCGAGAAATCAGAGGACTAAAATATAGAAAAAGAATGGGAGAAAGATCAAAGTAGGATTAAAACATTGAAAATATACCAAAATAGTACTTCCATGTTTTTATTTCCGAAATAGGACTTACATTACCAAACATGATCACATACATTACCAAAAAAGTATAGTAATTTGCACATGTACACTGCCACATTACCACAATGCAAAGTCACATTATCACAGTGTAAAGTCCTATTCCGGGAAAAAAACATGAAAGTCTTATTTTGGTACTTTTATCTATGTTTTAGTTCTATTTAGGATGATTTCTAAAAAAGAATCAAAATAAGAGTTCTATGTTTTTATTCTCGAAATATGAGTTTGTATTGTGGTAAGGTGACATTGTACATGTGCATATTACTATACTTTTTGGTAATGTACATGACCATGTTTCGTAATGTAAATACATTTTAACTTCTATTTCGAGAATAAAAACATGGAAGTCCAATTCTGGTATATTTTTAATATTTTACTCCTACTTTTGTCTTTTTTCCATACCGCTTTAAATATTACTCCTTTCATCCCTAAAAGATTGATACAGTTTGACTTTTTTAGTCAAACTATTGTACTCATTGACCACAACCGAAATATAGTTTAAACCATTAAATATTATAAAAATTTGATAATTCAAAACTATATTTTAAAACAAAAATTTACTAAATTTACATTAATACTAAATAATACTCCCTCCGTCCCATGAAACATGGGAGTTTTGCTTTTTAGGAGGGATTTAAGAGGAGTGTATTTTGGTATTGAATTTCCAAAAATGTCCTTTTATGTGATGGGTAAAAGTATGATTTGATGGATAGATTATTAGTAAAAAGGTATGATGTGATAATTAGGGTATGAAAAAGTGAGGGGTAAAAGTGACTTTTTAATAGAAATGAGATGTTTTGTGGGACGGATAAAAAAAGAAAGGAGAAAGGTTTTATGGGACGGAGGGAGTATATTTTTTTCATAATTTGTGGTCAAAGGGTACCACAGTTGGACCAAAAAAGTCAAACTGTAGCAATCTTTTAGGCACGGAGAGAGTACTTCATCCGTCGTAAAACGAATTGCTTTCGGATGGCAATGATATTGTTTTTAAATACTTAAGTTTTTATTTATATATCAATCATTAAATAAAATGAATTGAGAAACTTATAATTTTACTTCGTTTCGCGTTAAGTGAAGATAATTATAAGACGGAAAGAGTATTAATTTAAAACTATATTTGATTTATAGTCAAAGAATGTTATAGTTTGACTTTAAACTAAAGGTCAAATCGGGAGTCTCTTTTTGAAATGGATGGAGTATTTGTAGTTTTGTATTGACATCTATTTAATTTTAATCCATGTAATGCAGGATAAGAAATATATTGTGGAAGCTTCGAAGCTGAAGGAAAGGGTGAGGGGTTTGTTGCAAAAAGAGGGGATATTAATATTGGAACAATTGGAGCTTATTGATATTCTTCAAAGACTTGGTTTGTCACACCATTTTGACCAGGAAATACATGAAATACTCTCAGCCTTGAACCAAAAACAACACAATCTTAGTCATGATAGTAACAATAATAATAGTACGAGTCTTTACCAAACATCTTTACTCTTTCGGCTGTTGAGACAACAAGGCTACCCTATCTCCCAAGGTACGAACCCAAATAATTATATAAGAAATATTTGCACTAAAACTTAAGTCATTTCTCTAAATAGCACTTAGATTGTTTTTTTCCCCAAATAGCACTTAATAATGTCCATAATGACCTGTGATGACAACATTTAATTGAATAATGACTAATGGATAATGACTAAAAATGCTACATTGAGAAAAAAACATATGTAGTGCTATTTAGGGAAAGTCATTATGTTTTAGTGCTATTTAGGTAATTCCTCATTATATTATTCCCTATTACTGATTAATTACAGTATTATGTGAAAGAGTACCGTTCTTTTGACTTTTTGGAAAATTAAGGAATACTCGTATTTTGATGTTGACTTTCCAAACATACCTTTGATGTGATGTGTAAAAGTAAGATGTGATATGTAGATTATTAGTAAAAAGGTATGATGTGATAGGTAGGGTATGAAAAACTAAAAGGTAAAAGGGGTTTTTTAAAGGAAAAAAGAAGTTTATTTAGGGACAAAGAAAAACTGCCATGTATTTTATTATTTCTTGAGTAATAGAATATGAAAGAGCTCTGTGATGGAGAGATAGTCTTTCTGCCCTTGAAGTCTCTGCCTAGATTTTATTTATATATATATATATATATATATATATATATATATATATATATATATATATATATATATATATATATTCAAAATAGTAGGCTTTTCGAAATAAATAAGAATCTATACATTGTAGCAAAACATTATGCTTTTCAATTCCTTAAATTAATAAGAGTGTAGGCGTGTAGTTATAGTATTATTTAACCTAAAACTCTTGTATTGCATGTGCATGCAGGGACGTTAGTTTAAGAAAAACTAATTTTTACGTAGTGCAAGTTAAGGCTCATGTATAAATAAATATTGTCTCCACGTGACGGGGTGCGTAAGAGTAAGTTAATCTTAAAATCTTACGGAGTATATCGCATGCGCATGCAGGGACGTTTAAGATGTTCATGGACGAAGAAGGAAAATTTGAGAAGAGGCACGGTGAGGAGGACGTGAAAGGAGTGTTGAGTTTGTATGAGGCTTCATATCTTGGAATGGAAGGTGAAGAAATTCTTGAAGAGGCCAAACATTTCTGCACACACCACCTCAAGAAATACTCTATGCTTCATACTGGTGCGGGTGGTGGTGATCACCATCATGAAGAAGAAGCGGGGTTGGAGGAGGAGATAAAACATGCTTTAGAGATGCCTGTGTATTGGAGGATGCCGAGGCTCGAGGCCAGACACTCCATCGACATGTACGAGAAAAGGGTCATCAAAAAGGAGGAAATTGTTGAGCTGGCAAAACTGGACTACAACATGGTCCAGGCCCTGCACTTGAATGAGTTGAAAGAGCTGTCCAAATGGTACAAAGACATTCAACTGGCACAAGTCATAGGAGGGTTTGCTAGAATCAGATTATTGTCGTCTTTTATGTGGAGCGTCGGGTTGAACTCCCAACCCAAATATCTGTATTGCAGAAACATTTTCTCAAAGGCTGTCGAGTTTATTACAATGCTTGATGATATCTATGATGTTTATTCCACCTTACTTGAAGCCCACACTTTGACGGATGTCATCGAGCGGTACGTACGTTACATTATTTTATTTTTGAGGGATACATTACGTTATTATTAATCCTATATATCAAGTTCTCATATTTTTCAATTTTTATTAAAAAAAAATTACTTTCACCCTCTCAAAAAAAATTCATCTTTCACTTTTTATTTATTCTAAAAATATTTGGACTTTCAATTAAAATCTCCTCCTTATAATTAAACGATACATTATTGACATTGTAATTTTTGTTCTAATGATAAGTTATGAAGCTCTTATATTTATACTTTGTCTCTGTCGCATATAGCTAATGATTGATCAATCTATGTTAGTATCCCCATATGTTCTCACATTAAATTAGTTATAAATTTTGATTATGACTTATATATTGAAATTGCATTTATGTTGATTAGGAATGTAATATTGAAACAAAATATAATTTGCAGATGGGATGTGAATGCTATTGAGGAGGTGGATCTACCAAGTTGCGTTAAAGTTTTCTTACTCCGTACTAGCTTTCTTCAAGTTATGAGGCACTTATCCACCTTGGAATTAACGTTCTCCCCTACCTAAAACAAGCGGTGCATCTCAAACCAACTTTTTTTTTATCTTTCTTTACATTATTTTAATTTGTTATCATTCCAAAAAATAGTACTCGGTATCATGTATGCTCATATAGGGTTGGTTCTATGACATTAGTTATCAATGTGACCAAGCTTTCTACAATGCCTTTTTTTCTAAAAAAAATGGATAATTCTTATTTAGAGAAATGACATAAGTTTTAGTGCTATTTAGTGCAAATATTTCAATTAGAGATAGTATGAACCATATCATCAGTTTTTCGTTCGGAGCACCGTTAAGCCTCATTGAAGCCAAGCTCATATCAGGGTATTGGGGTCAATGTCAAGGAAACTGCCCCCCGCTATACATATGTAGCATTACAATCATGCTAGGGGTACACCAAGGAGTGTAGTCCAAAGTGTATATCAAAAATATACACTAATATTTTGATAATTTATACAGGCACAAAAGGGTAGTAGAATAAAAAAAAATTATTGCAAAAGCACTGCATTAATTCTTAAATGAAATGAGTTAAATGTGTGTGTGTTTTGTGTACGTAGTGGGCAGGGCTAGCAAAAGCATACTTGGTGGAAGCAGAGTGGTTCCACGGTGGACACAAACCAAGCCTAGAAGAGTACATGGAAAATGCGTGGGTATCCATCACTATTCCGGTACTGCTAGTGGAAGCCTACGTTGCCATGGCGGTAGAAACTGATGAGAATAACAAAGAGAACAAGAAGACAATAGAAGAAGATCTTCAGTTCCTGCTCCAAGACCAGACAATCACCCGATACTGCGCCAACATAGTCCGCCTCACCGACGACCTGGGGACATCCTCGGACGAGATGAAGAGAGGAGATGTCCCCAAGGCGGTGCAGTGCCACATGAACGACAACCCTGGGTGTTCCGAGGAAGAGGCGCGCGCCTTCGTGCACCGCCTGGTCGGCGAGAACTGGAGGAAGATGAACGCCTGGGTTTTGGCCAACGGGGCGGCGGTCGCCGGCGGCCGCCGCTTCTTCCCGATTTTGCGCGAACCTCTCAGTGCTTTTACCAATACGGAGATGGTCATGGGTGTGAAGGTGGCGTCGCCAAGCAACGCATGTACTCCCTCTTCTTTCACCCCATTCCATAGTTATGAGGTTCTTCAAGGTTTTCTTTTCGGTTCTTTCCTTGATGCCTTTATTGAACCGATAAATTAGGACTATGGTTTTTAACTCTTCTCTAAATGTTGGTATTCACGTAAACAAGAAATATTCTTAATTTAAATCTTCTCTGTTTTCTCTTGCTTATTCAATATGATTAGTGTCAATTACATTAGTGTTCTCATTGAAAGCGCGATCACAAAAAAATAAAATAAAAGTATAATCTTTGCGTGAAGAACGGCTGCGGTTGCATCTCTCATCCAAAACGCCTGTCCCTTTGCGTGAATGTGAGAAAAACGGGCTATTTCGAGAATCAAAAATTCAAATGATTTTTTAACATAACTCTTTGTCAAAAATAAAAAAAATCCGAGGGCAGCTGGTGGCTCTATCCCTTGGACGCTGTAGGGGCTGCCGCCCCTTGAACCCTGCTCGGGGACTCTGCCCCTGAACCCCCGCCAAGAAGGCGTTGCCCCTTTGGAACCCCTGTTAAGATGAGACTTTTTTCATAAAAAATTTAATGAAGCGTGCACTATACACCACTTAACTTTTTTTTTATGATTATTATGATACCATTGATTAAATAATTTTTCTAATTACACTAAAATATTTAACATGGTATTGAATTTTCTAAATGCCAAGATTTTTGAAAAAGGATGTTTCATGTGGAGATTTTAAACTTGTAAGAACTTAAAATATTGAAAATACTAGAAAAATGAGAGAACTAACACAAGAAAAATATACTCGAGGTATAAGAGAAAAAAAATTTTATTTCCATAATTTTAGGACATTATACAAAAAAATCTCCCACTGTTTACTAGGATGAAGTTCAGACACTCATAAACAAATCTTTCAACCTCATATGTCTTAAGTATTTTTGTCCGATCCGGTCCAAAACGAATATATTTAGGTCTGATCTTTGGTCTATAATTTTATCTAATTCGTTCTTTGCTCCGATTCAGATCGGTCAGTTCGATCTGGTCTTGGACCGATGAACAACCCTACCGTGTCAAATGCTCTTTAGTGAGAACATTACATATGGATAATGTTATTCGTACCCCAAGAATTTGTACCCCATTTTATACACCGCATGGATGCACCAACATCTTGTGTTGGTGTAATGCTAATTTTTGCTAATACACCAACACTCTGTGTCAGTGTAAATTTTTGCTAACGCACCAACACTTTGTGTCAGTGTGAACCATCAAAATGTGTAGTGAATACCTTTGGTGTACAATTTTGGAGTATATTCTCCTTACACTATTAGAGTACATAAATTATTAAATTTGTCTTCATTGGACAGCGCCATACCAACAACTACGGATGGATATTTTCCCTAGAAACATCACAACCTAAAGCAACGTTTATCTAACTCCAGTAAAGTCAAACACACGCCGTTCAATATTTGAGAGAAGCATGCGAGTTGCAACGGAAAAGTCGCCCACGGAAAAAGACTAATCGCCGTTTAATTTTCCACCTTTTAAATTCACTCTTGTTCCAATATCATGGAATAACCCAGAAGTATTCCCGTGTCCCATTCATAAAATTGAGGTTCTTATCCTCGGTAAATCCCCTTTCTCGCCACGGCCCAAACACACTTTACTTTATGAGTTAGGAAAGTAGAAACCGTCATTTACCTTTTGAGTTTTCTGAACGCAAGGTCATTGTGCCATTTAATTTAATAGATTTTGATAGTTGGGGTCGAATAGCTATTACAACGGTGCAAAGTCCTATTTTGGGAAAAAAACATGAAAGCCCTGTTTTGGTATTTTCTCAATGTTTTAGTCCTATTTAGGGTAATTTCTATTACTTCTCTTGGTGGTTTTCGTTATTGCGTCTCCATTATTGATTTTAGTGCAAATTTCACTATTAATTTCTCCATACTATATAAGCAGAGCATATATATGCATACGTGGGAGTGGATACAAAATAAACCAGTAACAAATTAAATTTCCACAACAAGAAAAAATGGACATGGCGATGATGAGCACAACAACATGGGTTCGCACAGCAGTAGCCTTTGTAGTCATTGTTGCATCAGCCATAATAGTATCTCATCTCTTTGAACACACAACGAAAAAGGAAGTAAAGACTGTCAATACGAAGAAGAAGAAGAGGTTGGTGCCCCCAGGTCCTAGAGGGCTCCCAGTTATAGGGCACCTCCACCTGATAGGGCAAAACCCTCACAAGGATTTGCAAAAGCTGTCGCAAACCCACGGCCCCATCATGCGTCTCCGGTTCGGCACGGTCGACACCGTCGTGGCTTCCTCGTCGCATGCGGCGCGGCTCTTCCTCAAAACAAACGACCTCAACTTCACCAACAGAGCATCGCAGCAGCTTGGGGACATCCTCTCGTACGACAGCAAGGATGTTGTGTTTGGGGACTACAGCCCCATTTGGTGCGAAATGAGGAAGCTCTACGCCGTGGAGCTCCTCAGCAGCCAGAAGGTGAACTCTTTCGAGCCCTTGAGAAGACAAGAGTTGTGTCTTCTCATAGAGTCTCTCAAAAAACAATGTCCTGTGGCTGTGGTTGGGGAGGGGGTGGTGGACTTGAGTGCCACGTTGGCGTCCATGAACCTTAACCTCACGTGCAGGATGTTGTTTGGGAAGAAGTACGAGGAGTGGGACGTTGTTGGCGACGACGGGAAGGGGTTCAAGGCCGCCATTGATGAGGTCATTCATTTGGCGGGTGCCACCAACCTTGGGGACTATTTCCCTGTCTTGTCTGGACTTGATGTCCAAGGGCTGTGCCGAAGGGCCAAAGTGGTTAAGAATGTGTATGACCAATTCTTTGAGAGGGTCCTTGTCGACCGTGAAAACCACAAAAGAGATGAACGTGACGACGCCGCCGCCTCAAGAGACTTCGTTGATATCCTTTTGGGCATTTTGATAAATAAGGAAACTAATTCCTTTGAGTTCACACGTGAACATGTCAAATCCATGATGTTGGTAAGAAACGGGTAATTTGCCTATAATACTCCTCCCTCCCATAAAGTCAGTCCTTTTCGAAAATTTTGCGTTCCTTAAACTCTGTCTCATTTCTATTAAAAAAACAATTTTACCACTTACTTTTTCATACATATCCTACCTATCACATCATACCTTTTTCCTAATAATCTAACCATCACATCCTACTTTTATCCATCACATCAAGGGTATTTTTGAAAAGTCAACACAAGATTATTTCTCCTTATTTTACCACTTTATTCAAACCGTCCCAATCTTTATGGGACGGAGTGAGTACTCTACTAAAATATACTTCCTCCTGGTCCCATTAAAAATAATTTATTGATACAAAAATAATTTTATCAGATTCATTTTATAAAATATTTTTAAAATATTATTTTATCTAATTAATATATACTCTCTCTGTCCCTTAAAATCCTCCCCCTTTCTTTTTTTCCTGTACCACTAACTCATTCCCTTATCTATTATAAAATCACATTTACCACTTACTTTTTTAGAGCACTGGTAATGGTACTCACGCCCACCGACGTTACGGGGCGTGAAACACAGCCCCCCGCCGGCATGAAACGGGCGTGAGGGCGGCTGCGTCATTCCTTTGACGCGGCGTGAGAGCCGTTTTTTCGGCCCAACGGCTATAATGCCGTTACCCCCCCCCCCCAAATTAAAAAAAAATTAAATTTAAAAAAAAAAACCTATAAAATCCCCCCTTCTCCTACATCTTCCTCACACCTCTCTCTAACAAATCTCTCTTTATTACTATATATTCTCTCTAAAAAATTTATTATTTATTATAAATATTTATAAAATATAATTTAAAAATGGGTTCATCTTCCGACGATGAAAGAAGAGCTTTATTTTTTCGCTGTTTCGCGACGAATTGTATTCAATGGTGGGAAGATGGCCAAGAAGAAGCCGAATCCTCCCGACGACGGACCCGACGCCAACGTCTTAACCGGGATCGAGCGGCCGCCCACGATTCACTTCTAAAC